GAGTAAACTGTAAAAATGAAAGAACACAAATTCGGCAAAATCGAAACCCTGAATGCTAATGTCTAAACGTTCTTTTCGACACACAGAAAGTTTCAAAGGATTTAAAAGTAAGAAATTTAAATGAATCATTAAGAAAAATTTGCTCTCTCCCATAAGAAAAGCATTGTTTTCGACTTTTCTGGTTTTCGCGGCAGTAATGCTGACGTCACGAGCCAATGGAAAGGGGCTTACCCCGAGCGGGGAAATCTGCGCAATGACTGACCTATATGGATGGATCTTGTACCAATATGAGCATTCCTGAATTTACTATGAATTAAATAATTGCTGTTGCCATATGGCAACGCGATGCAGTAAAGGGTTAAATCGAACTCTTACCCTCATGCTAGGATCTTCTTTCCTACAAAGGCAGCCATGAAGCTTTCCCCTTTCGTCTTGGTAGTCCGGAGATGTCCCGTGTTGCACCAACATGCTCAGACACTGAAAAACACAATAATCAAAAGAAGTCACAATTAAGCAAAATAACAAACCGCGATCCGCAACCACATGTCTTGATTGCGGTACCTAATTGAAAATCTCCGTTCCTATTTTATTTTTTTTTTAAATTAGAACAAATCGACATAATTCCTTGAAGTTCCCGCAGAATTTTCCTCGCACGGAGAGGAAAAACCCGGTACCTTCAAAGAATTGCCGTTGGATGGTTTTCCATTTCAAACATAACGCATGACTAAAAGTCTGCAACGTCGCAAACCGAGATACTTGGTTGCGGACTTACAAAGTCGACTTTTGCTATTATTTCAGCACATTCGTCCTCTCATTTTCTCTAAGACCTCTGACTTTTACAAAGGAATCTGAGAATTAAAAGTAAAGGAAGAAAAATAATGCTAGGATTCCTCTCAGGTGCATATACTCCTATTTCTCTTGCCGAAATAGGGAAACAAATGTTAAAAAAAAGAAAAAAATTTAAAAAGTGTGACGCATTACTCTAATTACCACCGGCACAAGCACTCAACGGTGACACGTGTTGGGTGATGCTTTGACGGTGCTAGCATTAGTACTCCTCGTCTACTTTTAAGCTTTTTTCACAGCTAAAAATAAACGCGTCTAGAACTAAAACTCCCATCTCTGGTCGTCGTCTAAGTTTTTGAATTCTTCCCTTTCAAAATCGAAAATGCACCACTCCACACTTTCGCATTCTGCTAACGTCATTTTTTATTCCCTTTCCGTCGTATCATATAGGAGGTAGAGTCATTTACAGGTCTAGATTAATCTTTGGAGGCTTTTTACATTTTAATCATGTTTCAGCGACGTCTCAAGAGACATCAAGTTTTGGAGCCCTCTTAATCTAGTCCATCCGCTATTCACGTGGTCTAGTCTTTCACAATGATATACCTCTTAGCGGTATGTCTTCTGTTTATGAGTGGAAAGTAGACAAAATTGGTTGCCGACTATAAATTCGCTTTAAGAGAAACGTGAAAAAAAGAGGGAAGAAATAAAGGAAAAGACTATGAAATGAATATAATTAAAAAGAATTAAACAAATGTAAAATAAGAACATAAAAAATGTATAAAATACAATAGAGTAAAATAAAGTATAAAAAATAAAATAGGATGGAATTATGTATTAAAAATTGACGAAAAAAAATAAAAAAAATAATTCCATAAATTATAAAAATAAAAAATGAATAAAATAAAACGGGGTAAAATGAAGTATAAAAAATAAAATAGGATGGAATTGTATATTAAAAATTGACGAAAAAAATAGAAAAAAATAATTCCATAAATTATAAAAAGAAATAATGGATAAAACAAAACAGAGTGAAATAAAATATGAAAAATAAAATAGGATGAAATAATGTAATAAAAATTGACGAAAAGAAAATAAAAAATAATAATTCCACATATTTTTAAAGAAAAATTAGGTTTACAGGTTTTCACAAATTTATAGGTTTTTAAAGTATATTGGCTGTTAGTAATTGTCTAAAACGGAAGGACCGATCGGGACAGCCTTCTCAAATAGATGAGGGGATTCTGAAAGTTTTAATGAGCCTCCATTGATTACAATAAACTTGAATACGAGCAAAGGTGGCCATACCTCCATTTGATGGTTTTCTGCAGCGTCGTTGATTGGGCTCTTGCCGTATTTGTCCGTGACGAGCTTAGCTCCGTGACGCAGGAGCCAGCGCACGCACTCCAAATGCCCACGTGACGCTGAAAAGTGCAGCGGCGTTGCCCCATCCCCGTCACGTAAGTTTGGGTCAACCCCCTGATCTTGAACCTATAATTAATAATTCATAAAATCATCAAACCTAATGTAAGGAGAATATGAAGGAGAAAAGTGGATGCTGTTCAGAAAACACGATACACCCTCAGTTACACCTGTTCAGTAAAAATCCAAATTTCATATGAACACAAGCCTTTTGTTTGAGTGGCATCTGAATTTTAAGATTAACATGAATTTTTCGGCAAATTTTTCTGTGATGAAACTCAGTGTAGTGTCAATGGCGGGTGGGGGGGGAGGAGGAGAGTTTATCGTTAAATCATCATGACTTCATCTTATGAGAGGCCAAGAAAAGAAGGACATCACACCTTTTAAAGCAAGGATTTAATTTCATTGATGTAGGTACTGTAAAGCTGTGAACTTTAAAATTAGTAATACCAAATTTTGACCAATTTTTAAACATCGTGCTGCAATTCTCACCCGTTTTTTTTTTTTTTTTTAAATTATAGTGACGTCTTTTGATCTGATCCAATTCACGTGATAAAAATAGAGTCATAGTGATGCAACGATTCGCTATACAATTCGAGCAGGTGTGCTCTTGTTCAGATTTTTGCCACAAGGCCCAAACCTGACCTCAAAAACTGTCTAAAAATATTGTATTTTCACGGTAATGTATTTTTTAAAAGTGTATTTTCCGTAGGCATAGCACTGATGAACTAATTGAAAAATGGAGGAGGTGGTTCAGGTGGTTAAGCACGCAACACTTATCTCCGGTCATAATTCATAAAACATAAAATTCATGAACTGGAATTTAATTAAAAAACTGGAGTATTGTTGAATCTCGAGACTTCTATAGACGTGAGTAGTTTTCCATCTAAAAATGAGAATATGAAAAGAAGTCAGCAACGTCGCAAACCGAGATAAGTGGTCTGGTAGTTTCACTGTCATTGGCGGATCCAGCAAACTGGCAACATCGTCTTTGCTCCGTTTGAACCTATGGAAATGTATCGATTCTTAGAGGGGCCAGTTGCCCCAACAATAATCGATTTTTTAGTATAGGTTTAAATGGAGGAAATCCAGTGTTGCCAAATTGCTGGATCCGCCTCTGTTCACTGTTAGTGCGTGTCGCTTGGTTCCATACTAAGAAGCACTGCGCAATTGAGTTGAAAGTTATTTATAAATGCATCTACTCCAGAGGAGTAATTTTCCACCATAAACTCAATTTCTGGACAGAGCCGAGTTGGCGCTTTTTCTGTAAATAACTCACATTGTGTGTTGATTAGATATTGTATAGATTTGATTTATAATTTTTGTTCAAAAATAAAATCCTAATGAACGTCATTTGTTTCTACGGAAAATTCTGCATCAGTGGCGTGGCGTGAATTATCGATTATCGATATCTTGCCATTTGAGGCTATGGTGAAGAATCGATTACTAAGGTGTTCGCTGCGAACACCCTGATAATCGATCTTTTTTCATAGGTTTGAGTGGCGTATCGATCGATTCATCGCAATTCACGCCACGCCACTGTTCTGCATAAGATGAGAAGTAGTTTAAAGTCTGGAAAAATCGCATAATAGTTTTCCTCACGGAAAAGGTAACAAGAAATATGAAATATATACAACGTTGTAAATATGTGTTGTTCTAGCTTTCAAAATCGATTCCAATCAACGTTAACGCTATTAAATTCTCTTTGAATTACAAATAGTCAATATCACCGAAATTCATCATCGACTTTTTCACCAATGACCATCGGGGGTCCTGGGGGTGCCTGCCCCCCCCCAGAAATCTCGTGCCCCCCAGAAAAACGGGATCCTTAATTCCTCAACCCCCCGCTCTCTTCACTACGAGAGGTGGTCCCATGCCCCCCCCCCCAGAGAAATTTCCTAGCTACGCCCCTGCCAATGACGCAGGGATTAAAATAGAGATGATGAAAATCGTCTTACCATCCACTTGAGGCACGAAAGGCAGCCCATCTGGGCGGCCGCATGGACTGGTGCCATTCCATCTTTCGCTCGCACATAGAGGGAGCCACCAGCCTCGAGGACAAGAAATTTGAGCACCTCCAGATGCCCCTCTTGCGCCGCTAAATACACTGGAGTGACGTCATTGTCCATCTGAGTATTGGCACTGCAACATCCGGTGAAAAGGAAAATTAAAAAACCTGCTAGGAGACACTCAAAAGGCAATAGGACAGTTCAAGGGTACAACAAGGTTGAAATAAAGTATGAAATGAAGATTTTTCAAGTTTTGACCGTTTATTGTGATATTCATAAGGTAGTATTACAGTTTTAAAGTCGTTCCAAAAATACATTTCTTAAGGCAAGGTTTGACACAGACTCTTTCGGGGCTCTCTATTGAACTGGCTTGGGCATGAATCAGTGGGCTTGATCCTTCATTTTTTAGGGTATGCAATTTGGTCTCCGGAGAGTTTACATTGCTCGCGATCAAAACAAACATTTAGTCTCGGCGCGCGGTGTTCTTTCTTAGATATTCTAACGAGTATTTTGTAACTATTTCAAAGAACCAATGTACTTTCAGTTTCAACTGTCATTTAAAATCCATTTCTGAAGCACATCAAAATAATCCCGTCGATTGGATTAGTTTCAACCTTGTTTACAATTCATTTCCGAAGTATATCGAAATAATTGGACCGAAATGGTTGGGACAAATAAAACCTCTTCATTATATGAATACACGAAACAGAAAGAAGCAAAGTGATGATCAATTCGCATTTTTTTTCACTTTGAAAGCGTAAAAGTAATAACTTGACTTAAAATCATGTTCAACTTGTACTTAAATTTTATGCAACTGAAGTTCAGTTCCTATGACCGAGACTTTCCGTTACATAGACCGAAAACTTAGATGCTTCTCATGCATATAAGCTTGCTTAGTAAACTTTTGTGGGTGAAGGCGGGGGGGGGACAAGGGTTTATTTACCCCGCAAAAGAGTCTGCTAGTATTAAGTGACCATACACAATCACAACTTCTCTAGGGGGCTACAAGCCGTTTGGATAGTGGGAAGGGGGATGGGGGTGGGCAACAGCCTTCTGAGGAGGCAGACTCTGGCCTGGGTTTCTCGTATCCACGCCTCTGTTCTTTAGAACTGAAGCTTTTTTCCCCCTCTGCGTGTCGTTTTAAAAAAATTCTGACGACAATCCAAAGTGCAAAACAGTAATGGTATTTGCGTCATCTTTTGAATAGGGATCCATTTTTTTGCGTATAATTTAACCACGCGAACTGAAATACAAATCCAACATTTTTAGAAGTAGATAATCATTAGTGAGAGTTTGTTTGAATCTGGATCTTCTGATTCCATGGTCCTGAAGGCATCATTATGTTTGGTGAGTTATTGATATTTAATAATGTCATTTGAATGACTTTTTTTTTTTTAAATTTCGGCACGTACCTAACAATAAATTTTGCGCACAGACGAGAGAGCTTTATTGGATTATTCAAGAGCGGAAATAAGAGACTTGACCATATCTTTATTCGGTTTTTGGAGGGCGGTAGACTGAGAATTGACGATTTTATTCAAAATTGAACAATTTTGAAATTGCTACAGTCCATACAGCTGTGAGAAAATTGTGTTTATAATCATAAAAAACAGCGATTTTTGTTTATTATACTAGATTATATCCTCAAAAAACTTTCTGTACCGACATTAATTTTTCTTAAACAAGAAACAATAATATCAAATATGTTCAAATCTCAGCTATTTTAAGATGTAAAGATTTTAGTGTATTCCAGTGTATTATTTTCAGTGACTACATCATAAATCTTCACTCATTCCACATGTTGGCACGCGTGTACCGTGCATTTGATGAAATTGTTACTCTTTGGGTACTTGCGCGGTATTTCTAAATTTTACCGTTTTATGTATAAAGTCACCGTCCTGGTGTACTGGATACCCCTACAATTGAATTATCACTAATGCAGCGAAATAATTTAATCGCACTTTGGAATAAAAGGGTAAGAAAATCATTGATGAGTACAAGATTGCTTTTCATGTTAATTTTTGTGTGACTGAAACGGATCCTAGCGACAAATTGCGACGCATGCGAGGTATATTATATAAAATTTGTAACAAATTGTGAAATTCAAAGGCATAGGTTGGAAATTTAAGAAAACCCGTGATAAAATTTTAAACAAATTATCTCTTTACAGTTCCTAAAGGGAATTTTCAAATTCAAAGAAAGGATATCGATAAAGGTGCGTTTTTGGGCCCACTTCATCTAAATCTCCTCGACTCGACAATGTGTTACTCGATAAAGGTCTATATTTTACGGAATGCATCATAACCTGGTCATTTTCGGTCTCTTTTCTAATCTAATACTGGTCTAAGCATAGGTCTGAAGGCCAATTTTGGCGAAAAATACGGATTTTTCGGCATTCAACTGCAAACCCTCAAAAACCCGCACTTTTCCATAAAATCGGCCTTCAGATCCATATATAGGCCAGCACTAGACCCAAAAATGACCAAACCATAATGCATTCTGCAAAATATAGACCTTCACTCTGCGAAAAATCGGAGAGTTGAGGAAATTCAGGGTGGGCAAAAAACGACCCTTATCGAAACCTCTCGATCATTTAACAAAATACCTGTTAAATGTGTTCTTCATCCACAATTTTATCACTGGCTCTTATCTAGTGGTCCATTCTTGATTTTTCCGGATGTTTTTGGTTCTCCAATTGGACACATTTATGCTAAAAGGAACTATGTAACACGTAAACCCCATGCACGTAGTTCCTTTTAGCATAAATACTTCCAATGGACCACTAGACAAGGTACGAATTTAAGCAATCTGCTACATGTTTCTTAACCAGAATTTCAGGCAAAACACGATTCACACAACAAAAATTACTGAAACACACTCTTAACAAAGATATTAATGTTTTTATTACCCATTGGTTACGAGGAATTTGAACTGCCCGCTGACAGGAAACTAAAAGCTCTATGTGAGTCAAATCGCGCACCACAACGGTTTCAGCAAGCTTCTCAAACGAGCAATGTTCATTTCCCACGATGTGTTGTTCAAACTATAAGCAACTTGCTATAGCTGAGCCAAAGCGTTAAAATTGAGGTTGCCAGATTTCTAAATCGCAGATACTGTCATTATGACGTTTAGCGCGCGATGTGAATCACGTAGAGCATTGAGTTTTCATGAGCGGGTGTTTGAATTTACGCATCAAGAATCATTAAATGTCTTCGTAAGGAGTTGATTTCGGTAATTTTCATTGTAGGCATCGTGTTCTACGTGAAATTTTGGTTAAGAAACAATAATCAGAATGCTGAAATTCGTACCTTGTCTAGTGGTCCATTGGACGTATATCTGTCAAACAGATCTGTATGCAGGTGAGAAATATGGTGTGTGCTCTAGGAAGCTGCATAAGAAACAATGTAAAAGTGAGCGTGGTTCCTTTTGAAGAATTGGAAAAGCGGGATTTTAAAATCAGCAAACAGAAGTATGTGCCAACTGAATGCGGGATATATGAGCCGCGGGCATGGCACAAGAGCATTGTGAACAGGGCTCATGAGTTAAAGCCGAAGAGCCACGAGGAGCCCCGACCGAGGAGCCACATCCATTTCCGTTGACGTCACTGGCGCTTTATTAATATCATTCGCTCTTACGGCCAGAGAACTGACGAGCACACCCCATATTTCTCACCTGCATATAAATCTGTTTGATAGAAATAGGTCCAATTGATCCCGGTTTTTCCAGTTCCTAGACACCATGGTTTGACCATGGTTGTGTTGCTGGCATCCCAGCTTGGCCCTTGCAGTGCGAACGAAAACGACGATCCACCGAGGTTAAAACCTAGCCACGGGTACATGTACACGCTGCAGCCATTCTACACGTACGTTCAGAATTCCGGCCCGTGGCACGCGTTCTACGCTATCACGCCGTACACCTACTTCAACATCAAACCGACGGCGTTCTACGGATGCTTCACCATCCCGAAACTCATCTCTACCGACGAGTACCTGAGAGATTATCACTACATAGAGATCGGACCGCTCAAAGGACGCAAGAGGATCAACCCTAAAGTTGGCAGAGCCCTCGCTCTACGCATGATCGGCATGTGAGTACTAGTCAAACATGTTCATTTCAGTGGCTTTAGATGTAACGACTCGTTTCATATGGAGGTTTCATATCGATGGCTGAAGTGCGAGACCACGTACCTGTCTCTGGTTCCGCCCCCCTTTTAGCCCCTTTCCCCCGTTTTTTTCGTCACAGGAGGGGTAAAGACAAGAGAGGGATGATTGGCCTTGGTGAACACTCACAGCCTCTAGCAAAGTTATTTCTGTTTGCGACGTTGTAGAACTTCAGTCATACTTTGCTTTTTCCTCGGAAAACTAGTCAACATAATTGCTTGAAAACTTCCTTGATTTTTCTTCTCTTCAGTTAGGAGAATATTCTGTGTAAATTTCAAGCAATGGGCCTGTTGCATGCAAGAGATACAGCCGCGCAAATAGACTTTTTAGAGGTTAAATGACACGAAAACTACGATGTTCACATTAAAACAGTCTGAAATACACTCCTTACTGCGCAATTTGCGTTATTAGGAACGCGCTTTTTCAAATTTCCCGCGTCTGGGGGCAGTTTTCTAACGGAAACAATTAACGGCAACTCGCGGCTATTTCCGGTCAACTAAAACTGACAACATAACCTAAAAATCGGAGCTCGTGATATCGTGAAATGAAATGTAGAAGGATTGCGTTGGATATTTAAAAGTTGATCGATTTGGTTACCGCATAAAGCGTATATGGACCACTATAAGAGATCACGTTGGGTTTGTAAACAAACTGAAGGAAAAAATAACAACAACAACAACGACTCGGCATCTTCCGGAAATCACCGAGCCCGCCGTTTGCTCGTTTCCGGTGATTAGAAAACTGCCCCCAGACGCGGGAAATTTGAAAAAGCGCGTTCCTAACAACGCAAATTGCGCAGTAAGGAGTGTATTTCAGACTTTTTTAATGTGACCATCGTAATTTTCGTGTCATTTAACCTCTTAATAGTCTATTTGCACGGCTGTATCTTTGCATGCAACAGGCCCATTAAATTAACGTGTTCCGCCTCGAAAAAATAAAATAAGAATGGAGATGATGAAACAGCGCAATGGAG